GTTCATAACAATCTCAACCATACCCTTAAACTCTAACCTTAATTTAAAAACAACACTTGCCTCGCATTGCTCCAACCTTAAGCTTAAAATAACGTTGACTTTACCTGCGAACAATTAACTTCTTCCTGAATGTAAGATCGTGGCTTGCTTGGACTTACCGCGAAAGAACCAAGGCTTTTTTTTGTCTTGAAAATCTGGCCGTTAAAAATGAATGAAGGAATTAAAAAATCATCATCTTCTCTTATCTCTCTTAACAGCAAATTCTTTGTTCTTCAGAAGCTCCGTCTGTTTTCCATGGCTTTCTCTGCAACCATCTCACACAACACTTTCTCTTGTATTCCTTCATTCCATCAGAGCCTAACAAGAAACCCGATTCGTTTTCCGTCTTTTAGACCCATAAAAGCTGCTTCAGAACCAGAGAAGGAAGCCAAAACTGAAGTGTCCAGCAATGCTCAACCTTCAAGTTCGAGCACAGCTACCACTAATCTTCCCAAAAAACCAGTTTATTCGAGTAAAGTTCTGAAATTTCATGAATAATAGAGATAGTTTTCTTTGTGTATGCCTAATACTGTTTTTTTTTTTTTTTTTTTTGGGCAGTGAAGAAAGGACAGATTGTGAGGGTGGATAAAGAGAAGTATCTTAACAGCATCAATGTATGTTAAACAAGCAAAGCTTAGCTCTGAAACTTTCTTCTTCTTTTCCAAATGGGACGGATATTTGCATCATGTTTTCTTTCTTTTTCTTTTTCTTTTTCTTTTTTATTTTTCGGGTCTCTAAATTTTTGTGCAATCTCAGCGCGCATCAGAATATATATAAAGGACTGAGATGTTTGGTTTTTGATTCCAGTACCTATCAGTAGGGCATCCCCCTTACTACAAAGGCTTGGACTACATATATGAAGATCGTGGCGAGGTAGCTTCTTTACATCATTGAGGAAAAAACTTAAAATATGAAAAAAAAAAAAAAAAACACACCCAATTTCAGTTGGGGCATCATATCTCAAATTGTTGACAAGCCTGATTTCATGTTTTTAGGTTCTGGATTTACGCATTTTTGAGACTGGAGAGTATGCACTTGTGAGTGATTTTCTTTACGACTCTTGTTCTCTTTTTTCCTGCAACCAAAGCTAGAACATAATTTGTTTACTATTTGACTATTATTATCATTATTTCTATGTTGTGGAGTTTTGACAGTCTCAACCAGAATTAAAACTGACGTTAACTTGTTCAAAGGGAAATTAAGCTAAGTTATTTTCACAGGTTGCTTGGGTTGGCATCCCAACTGCTCCTGCGTGGCTTCCAACAGATATGCTTATCAAGGTACTTGTAAAACTTGTTTCAGCGGCTGTAGCACACACACACAGGGTACTGATTAAGTTGCCTAATACTGTTGGTGCAGTCGGAGAAGCTCAACTATGAGAGATTGTGAACAAATGAGACACCAACAGTGGAATTTCACAAGTGATGATGCAGACCACTTGTTTCCATATGAAATTTGTTATAAATTACTATGATTCTAATTCACTATTGTTTACTAATGTTGAATTTCTGTCCAAAATCAATTCAGTAACAAATTTTGCATCATTTTCTTTCCATACTTTGGTTTTGTGTATACTTTTTTGGAGGGCAATCTGCAACTCCTTAAAGGCTAGATCAACCATATCGTTGGGCTCACTTGGTCATATCACCAGTTCAAATGAACAGTTTTTCATGGAGGCAGAAGAGAAGGTAATGACTAATTTAAAATAAAACTATTCAAGGCAATAGCAATTACACTTACATTCTTGCAATGGGAAGAATTTATTATTGTTATGGATAGCCATATTAACACTATCATTAAGGTATACACCTCCAGTAGAAGCTCAGAAAATCATTGAAATAACTGTACAAAGTAAAACAATGACCTCTATTGAGAGGAAAAAAATGAAAGTAACAGCCTGTAACAATGCCTACCATTTGGAGGAAAAATAAGAGAGATCTGTATGTATAACTAGAGAAGCGCTACAGAAATGACACTGACCAATGGTCCATATAGACAAGCAAACCCCTCTAGAACTTGTTTTTCCAAGCACAAAGTTAAATGCCTGAAGACATTGGTTGCTAGAAAGCAGCTTAACAGCAGAATCTGTGCATAATCTCTGTCTAACAAATATTTGACCATCTGAGCATGAATAAAACAAGAATAATGTTTCTTATCAAGGACTAAAACTCAATTTTTCTGGCTCGTTTGTTGTTATTCATAAGTTCCACTAAGGAGGGAAGAGGCTTAGGTACAGGAACATTCAATGACCTGTATAGCCTTCTAATGCCATTACTGTAGCTCTTTGAAGACCCAATAGTGACATTTGAAGAGAAACTATATGTTCTCTTTCTTGTCAACTTCTCACGTTGCACTCCAGTAACATCTACCTCCAGCTCATCTTCTGATTTCTCATGTCTCTCTTTAGTCTCTTCTTGGATTGCAGATTCTTGCTTTGGTTCATCAACAGTACCATGAGGAATGCCGTTTTCTTTTGATATGATTCTCTCCTCATCTACAAGATTAGGAACAAGGACACCAAATCTTGCTCTGCCAAAAAGTGTCACCGGTGGCCTTTTGCTTGGAGGAGACAAACCCAATAACTTTTTATGTGGAGAAGATATCTTTACTGGAAGCAACTTAGGTTCCTCAGAAGTTTGGGTGGGCTCCTCAACCATGGGAGAACAAGTTGCAGATGCATCAACTTCTGCAGAAGCTTCCACATTAATTTTTAGAAGCTTCCAAAGAGGATCATCTGAAACTACTGTGGAGCTGAAACAATTCTTCTTAACATAATTCAACTCCATAGCCCAACAACCTGGTGTTGTTGATACAACCCTTTTTGGTGCAAGAAGTTGCAGAGCCCATTCTAACTCTTCCCTGGATGAGTGTGTAGAGTAACAGACATGCCAGACACCAAACTGATCTCTCATTGCTTCGTTAAATTTCAGTTTCTTCTGACTCCCAGTTTCTGAATGCTCCTCCCCACATGCATACCACTGTGCTGAGGGGCGAATAATGAGAGGCTCAGGCTGTGAATTAGCTTGGGCTTCTGCAAGCTTTGCAGCTGCTCTTTCATACAACTTAGGGAATCCATCAAACAACCGAAAATGGGAAGATGAATCTTCTGAGAGGATTTCAGGAACTACATGTGCTAGAATCTGGAAAAAATCTTGATTTTCTGCTTTGTCAACAAAGATCTTAGACCCAAATGTTCTGGAAACATTGGCCAGAATCTCTTCCTGACCAAGAAGATCACAGGTCAAATAAACCACAGGTGCATCAGGGTGATTCCATATACAATTGATAACCTAGTACATGGAAGAGGAATATACATCAATTAGTTATTTATATTTTGTGGAAAAATAGATGGAGTTTAGGGAAACAGAAGTTCACAAGCAGACACACAAAGCAACATAAATGAATAAAAATATATATATATTTGTGAGATCATCAAGAATATGACAAGGAATAACAGATAAACCATTAGAATTATTCATTTTTCAAAAAGAAATGCAGATAAAAGGCCAAATTCCGTTTTTCCTAGTCGTCTGACAGATAAAATAAATATCTAAAACCCACTGTAAAAAATAAAAAATAATAATAATAAAAATACAGACAAGATGCAGAAGTGAATTGTATACCCTCAAGAAAGATATATGGCTAATAAAACCATATGACAGATATTTGACCTACATCAAAGGTCATTATAAAGCAGGCATTCTTGTGAGGCTACCTGATGAATTGCAGAATGCTTGCTAGGCATTCTTTGGGAGAATCTACCAAATGTGCAGTCTAGAAATATGTAATCAAGTCGACAACTTGGCTCTTTCTTTTTGCTGCCAGTGAACTTCTCTGGCAAACTTTGTAGGCACTCAGGAGTCAGTCTGCAATCCCCAGTATGCAAGATATTACCAAAATTGCCTTCAAACAAGAACATGACTGCTCCTGAAGTTTATACAATCAGTCAATAAAGCTTCTCATAAATCATAATGCACTTGTAGTCATCGAGAGTACAACATAAACCAAAAGATGAAAAACCACCCATCCCAACATCCCAGCCTTAAAAAAGGGGGGGACAAAGCGAAGAAGAAACAGGAAGAACGGAAAGGAAGCCTCAGTGGAAAAAAATATATCAAGTGATAATCATTAATATAATAACATTTAGATGGATTCAGAGATTGTATGTGATCCTCAGAACCAATGTACTATTCATCACTTTGACAGTGTTATTACCCCAGTTATAACAATTCATCCTTCTTAGATAGTAGATTACTTTTAAAGGAGGCATGTCCTCTTCCTAAAGCACGCAAGAGATTGGGAATACTACTGTACTATATCAACATCCCTTTTAAATTAAGTCACATAGACTAAATTGTTTTGCACAGGAAAAGTTATAATTCAATTACTCAATCATAAAATAAATCTAGTAAAAGAAAATCAGAAGCTACATCAAATCACAAAATGATTATAAAAATTTTATTTTATCAGAACCAATCAACAAACCAAACAGAACAGAACCCTAAAAATTGAGAAACGAAATCAAAAACAATTTACCAGGGCAATGATTAGCATCAAAAGCCGTAACAGTAAACTCTCCATCCGGATCATCGAAAAGTATAGACTGCCCAACTTCAATACCCACGAACAGGGAATCGTCAAGCTGCAGAAATACTCAAAATCAAACCAAAGAAATTCGCACCTTCAAAATCAGGAAAATGAAAAAGCTGGCTAATAGATGCAAATACCTGAGGGTATTGTTGAAGGACGAGGGTTTTGGTGAGACGAGTAGCGTAGATAGGGTAAGAGGAATGAGTGGAGATGCCGGCGGTGTGGTCTTTGTGTGCATGTGTCAAGAAATGGTGTCTCTTCCGCTTGGACGACGGACTGAAAGTGTCGACCGAGAACGGCAGACCTTTGGGCATTTCGATTGGCATCTTCTTTCCTACCTGTGTTTTGTCGATACTGAGAATGGAAGAGGGACACTTGGGATGGTTTTTTTAATTTACTCAAAGCTTCTACGGTAAGGAAGAGAAAGAGGGAAATTCTAGAGGGAAATTGAATCTTCGGG